TGCGGATTCGGGGAGATCTCGACAAGCGCAGACCAACCCCATCATTAAAAAAAAATAATAAAAAAAATCGACCCCGTTTTGGGCCCAACCGGAATTCGGGTTTGACCACCGGGGCTCCAACTGGCCCGGTTGGGTCCGGTCCGGTCCGGTCCAACCGGCTGGTGCCCGGTGCAGCCCTGTTTGGCTTGAAAAACTGAGCGCAAACCCAAGGAACTCGTGGCTAACAAGACAAGGGGGAGTGTGGCATACTGCGCAGCCACACGGGCCTGCAGGGCCCGACCAGACGGAAAATAAGGGCCCTACAGGCCTTGTGTCGTTTCAGCCTAAAAGCCTGAAAACGAGGGCCATTTTCAGGCCCTCATAAAGTCGACCTGCCCTGAAACTCAGGCGCCAGACCAGGGTTTAGCACAGGCCATTTTTGGGCCTGTTTCAAGACAACCTTTGGTTGAACTTCAACGCCAGGGTCTGGCACGTTTCGGCATTGGCAAGTTTGTTTGAACTTCAACGCCAGGGTCTGCCACGTTTCGACATTGGGAAGTTTGTTTGAACTTCAACACCGGGGTCTGGCACGTTTCGGCATTGGCAAGAGCAGCCTCCCAGATGGGCCAACACTGTATAGAACTGGCCCGCCCTGCACGATGCAGGTAGCTCATAGGGACTTCCCAGACAATTCACGGGCACTTCACGTGCAGGAAGCAGGAGGCAGTCTTTAGGATTCGGCAGCAGCACTCTGGAGGAGCGCTGCAGTAGTAGTAGTAGCGTTAGGAGTAGCCTTCAGTGCTGGGCGCTATTAGGAGCTAGAGTAGCGTTGGAGAGAGAAAGAGAGTTGGCGGAGGCCAGGGATACCTACCTGTGGCGCCATAGCTCCAGCTTCGTCTTCGATGTACCTGCAACAAGGCGCCACCTTCACACGTTAGTACCGGACTGAGAGAGAGAGAGAGAGAGTTCTTCTTCTTCCTCTTCTAAGTCCACCATCTCTCCCTCACCCTCTCCCTACCTGACTTCTCAGTATCTGCAGACCACTCCACGTGCAACAATCCACCGCATGCACGGTTTCACCACCATCGACGACCGATTCGGCAGCTTCGCCGCCAACTATCGCCGGGGATTCGACGTTATGGTGAAGACTTGCAGAACTCAACCCTTTGACGTGCGCGGGCTTCCAACGGATGCCCCTTCCCCCGATCGGTCGATTGCCGAAACCGCATTGCAATGTGCTCATGGCACAATTGCGGGATTACTTGATGGACGCCAGAGTAGAGGTTGTTGACCTTCACGACTACGTTGCAAAGATCGACCGCGAGTTCAAGACACAACGGTACGACGACATCGATGCGCCATTGTTGTACATACGCATTCAAATCTGAGAGGCGACCTGCAGCGCTTTGATCGATTGCGGAGCTACTCGCAACTATATCAGCCAAGACTTTATGGTACGCGCTGGCCTTGGGCCACGCGTTCGGAGGAAATCACAACCCACACAAGTCACATTGGCCGACGATCACAAGCACAAGTCAATCGACCGGTGCATTGATTGCGTCCGCATGTACTTCGCCCCGCATGCAAGCATGGCCGTGTCCTTCGACATTTTGGACACCCTGTTCGACCTGATTCTGGGCATGTCATGGCTGCAAAGTGAGGATCACCCGGTGAACTTCTACCGCCGCACCGTTCACGTTCGTGATCGGAACGGAGTACTAGTCCCATGCATGGTGCCTCCACCTCACCCTTCGATCAGCTGCCACGTGCTGTCCGATGCAAGCATTCAATCTCCCATCATCAGGGACGACATCAAGGAGATGGGGGTGTGTTTTCTCCATGCCCTCCCTCCCCATGACATCCCATCGAAGGACGCATCAACGGACCCACGCATCACCGAACTTCTCGACGCCTATGGCGACGTGTTGGAAGCCGCGCACGGAGTAATACCTGATCGGCCCATCCACCACGAGATCATCCTCGAAGCCGGGGCCGTACCTCCCCGTGGTTGCATCTACCGCATGAGCAAGGAAGAGTTAAGTTTGCTACGGGCACAACTCGACGACCTTCTTGAGAAAGGTTGGATTCGGCCTAGCTCTTCGCCATACGACGCTCCCGTTCTCTTTGTCCGGAAGAAGAACAAGGATTTGCGGTTGTGCATCGATTATCGCAAGCTCAACGCGCAAACCGTCAAGAACGTCGGCCCTCTCCCGCTCATCGACGACCTTCTCGGACGGTTGGGTGGCGCTAAGTGCTTCTCCAAGCTTGACCTCAAATCGGGATATCACCAACTTGAGATCCGGCAGGAGGACCGCTACAAGACCGCGTTTAAGACGCGGTATGAGCATTTCGAATGGCTGGTCATGCCATTTGGCCTTACGAATGCCCCGACCACGTTCCAAGCGGCTATGCCGACGGAGTTCCGACACATGCTGGACAGATTCGTACTCATCTACCTCAACGATATCTTGGTGTACAGCTGGAGCTTGGACGAGCATGTGAAGCACCTGCGCACCGTTTTGGAACGGCTACGACAAGCCGAGTACAAAGCCAACCTCGACAAATGCGAATTCGCGCGGCAAGAGCTCGAGTACTTGGGCCATTATGTGATGCCGCAAGGCATCTGTTTGCTTGCGGACAAGATCGAGGCCATCCGCGTATGGCCAGAGTGCACCAACACCACGGACGTTCGCGCATTCATGGGATTGGCGGGCTACTATCAACGCTTCATCACCGGGTACTCAAGGATTGCAGCGCATTGACGAGATTACAATCGCCAAACGTGCCATTCGTATTCGATGACAACGCGCGCCGGTCATTCCAAGCACTCAAGACGGCCATGCTCATGGCAGCCGTCCTTAGCATGTACGACCCCACCTTGCCAACGAGAGTGACAACTGATTCTTCCGGCTATGGCATTGGGGCAGTCTTGGAACAACACGACGGCGGCGACTGGCACCCCGTAAAGTATTTCAGCCACAAAGTACCTCCCATCAATTCACTTGATGATGCAAGGAAGGAGCTGCTCGCATTCGTGATGGCTCTCAAGCGATGGCGACCGTAGGTTCACATGGGCCACTGATAACAAACCTTTGACCTACTACAAGATGCAAGATACGGTGAGCAGCACTATCGAACGATCTCACACTGAAACATCTCGCCGGCCTCTCCAATCGCGCAGCAGATGCACTCTCACGAAGACCCGATCTTTTCGCAATGACACATTATGCCTTCGCATTCAACGAGGAACTTCAGTGACATTTCATTCGGGGCTACCAGCCCGATCCAGATTTTGCCACGCTATATGCGCAGCTATCTTGGGATCACCCGCCGACCAACCATTATCGCATCGTCAACGGGTACTTGCTTCTCCACTAGCGAGGCAAGGACTTATTGTGTGTCCCATGAGATCGTCGCCTTCGGACTCGCCTTCTCGGCGAGTACCACGCCTCGCGACTCGCCAGCCATTTCGGAGTCAATCGGACTATCGCACGACTTCGGCAACGATTCCGGTGGCCCAACCGCATTGCTGATGTCACTCGGTATTGCGACTCTGCGAAGTTTGCCAAATCCGTACGGCAAGTTGCGCCTGTTGCCCATCCCACGGGAACCCGTGCTCTCCATTGCTATGGACGTCACCGGTCCGTTTCCCTGCGACCGCCTCGGGCACGACGACATCCTCACGGTCGTTGACCGATTGAGTAAATACTCGCGATTTCTCCCTTGCAAGTACTACGCGACGGCTCCCGAACTTGCGCGCCTCTTGCACACCGGCTGGATTTGCAGCCACAGCGTACCGGAAGACATTGTCAGTGACCGCGACACTCGTTTCATGTCGGCATTCTGGACTTCTCTCATGCAGGAATCCAGCACCAACATGAAACCAAGTTTGGCTCGACATCCACAAACGGACGGGCAAACGGAGCTGGCACATCAAACCGCTCAAATGATGCTTCGTACGCTCATCTGTCCGGATCAGAAGGATTGGGTTGACCGCCTCCCTGACATCACGTTCGCCTACAACACTCCGTTGCATCCGGCGATTGATGTGACTCCATTAGAGTTGCACCATGGTGGCCGGAAAGGCCGTATCTTCGCTGATCTTCTCCTTCCACGAACAGCAGACATAGACGCCGCTTGCTCTCCCGCTTCCGTCCGGAAGTACAGGGAACTGCTGGCTCAAGGCCGTGCAAACATGCAAAAGGCTCAAGTCCGCATGCAGCAGCAAGCCAATCGGCCCCGCGTACCATGTCCTATCCACACCGGCGACCGAGTTTGGGTCTCCGCGGAAGAGCTTGCGCTCAAACAGGATGTTTCGCGCAAGCTACTCCCCAAGTGGTTTGGACCATGGACCGTCCGTTAAGCCGCAGGCAACGAGCCGGACGGCCCGTCCTTTGTGATCGACATCCTTCCGCATCTGCTGGTCCATCCAGTCTTTCACGCCTCGAAGCTGGCAACATACACGCCAGCAAAGGACGATGACTTCCCGGACTGGCTATCGCAAGACCCTCCGTCTATGGATGGTCATTAGGAAGTCGACTGCGTCATCACGGATCGCAAGTACGGCAGCAAGCCTCGACAGTACAATGTTACCTTCAAAGCATGCAATCCCGACAACATTCGATGGATTTCAGGAGCAGATTTGACAGCATCCGCACTGCTGATCTACGCTCACTACGAACGACAAAGGTTAGCTAAGGAAGCTTCACGACCTGCCCCTCCCACCTGGACTTTGGTCCCTCCCTCAAAGAGGCAGCTGCACCCTCACAGGTAAGCTCGGTCTTTCAAGGAGGGGGGCGTGTGGCGTACCGCGCAGCCACACGGGCCTGCAGGGCCCGACCAGACGGAAAATAAGGGCCCTACAGGCCCTGTGTCGTTTCAGCCTAAAAGCCTGAAAATGAGGGCCATTTTCAGGCCCTCATAAAGTCGACCTGCCCTGAAACTCAGGCGCCAGACCAGGGTTTGGCACATGCCATTTTTGGGCCTGTTTCAAGACAACCTTTGTTTGAACTTCAACGCCAGGGTCTGGCACGTTTCGGCATCGGCAAGAGCAGCCTCCCGGACAGGCCAGGACTATATAGGACTGGCCCGCCCTGCAGGCTGCAGGTAGCTCGTAGGGACTTCCCAGGCAGTTCACGGGCACTTCACGGGCACTTCACGTGCAGGAGGCAGGAGGCAGTCTTCAGGATTCGGCAGCAGCACTCTGGAGGAGCGCTGCGGTAGTAGTAGCGTTAGGAGTAGTCTTCAGTGCTGGGCGCTGTTAGGAGCTAGAGTAGCGTTGGAGAGAGAGAGAGAGTTGGCGGAGGCCAGGGAGACTTACCTGTGGCGCCATACCTCCAGCTTCATCTTCGATGTACCTGGAACAAGGCGCTACCTTCACAGGTTAGTACCGGACTCTGAGAGAGAGAGAGAGAGTTCTTCTTCTTCCTCTTCAAATCCACCATCTCTCCCTCACCCTCTCCCTACCTGACTTCTCAGTATCTGTAGACTAAGAGAGAGAGAGAGAGAGAGAGAGAGAGAGAGAGAGAGAGAGAGAGAGAGAGAGAGAGAGAGAGAGAGAGAGAGAGAGAGAGAGAGAGNAGAGAGAGAGAGAGAGAGAGAGAGAGAGAGAGAGAGAGAGAGAGAGAGAGAGAGAGAGAGAGAGATTGGTGACTTTGGGACCTGACGACATTTGGATTCAGACTCGACATTGGGATTGAGACTTCAGACGAGGGATTATTTGGGGCCTGTATCGAAGACTTGGTGGTGACAACATTCCCATCTTCCCCCTCTTCTTCGTCTGACCCCTTCCTCTTCGTCTGTGTATGGCCTGGACCTGGCGCCTTCTTCTTGTGTGTAGCGCCAGGCCCTTCACACCTTGTGATGATGATGATGTATGTTTGGTCTGCATTGCGACATTGATTGGTCTGATCATTGGTATATTTAGCCTTCCGCTGCGCTATCCTGTACTATGTGAGAGAGGTCGGTTCTTGTGCAACAGGGAGGCAATCCTGAATTTGATTGGTGGCAATCACACCCTTGGTTCATTCTTCTTAAGCTTCGATGAGCATGTGATTTGTTTAAGTAGCTACGGTTAGGCCCAGCGCTGAACCTCATATGGCCGAAGTGATGGCCCGATACGTCCAGGAAAGTCATAGTATGAGCATGATCTTAGAGCTCAATTGGTATAGTGGTAAAGTTCTGGCTTTCTTCAAAATTACAGTAAAAAATTGCAGTGAAAATTGCAGTGAAGATTGCAGTCGAAATTGCAGTCAAAATTGCAGTCAAAATTGCAGTCAAAATTGCAGTCAAAACTGCAGTCAAAATTGCAGTCAAAATTGCAGTCAAAATTGCAGTCAAAATTGCAGTCAAAATTGCAGTCAAAATTGCAGTCAAAATTGCAGTCGGGATTACAATTCAACAGGTTCCACGATGCTGCATATGATTGCAACCGGACGGGCTACGTGAAGAGAGAAACGCATAAGTGAAACTTGGTCGTCTGACAACAGTTGTACCTTTGTGATGCTCTCGTGTGTATGGCATTGTATTTTTTCAGGGCCTGAATAAGAGGCAGGATGATGGCAAATATGAAGTCACTCTCAAGTATCCTCACTATTTCCCTATCATGGAGCAATGCAAGGTGCTTATATTTGCTATGTTTCCAATGAGATGTGTGAGTTTTGCTGTGGCTAGTCTGCACATGTGGAGAATACATTTTTTTCAAATTTTTTGTATGTACGTAATGTACCTCAGAAGTTTATGTGTCTGTCGGCATGGTTGCGTGCTAAACTGATTGCCAATGTGCTAATCCCTGTCATGGGAAGAGATCTGCAAATATATGATCCGAGACAGGTGCGACTGAAGTTCGGAAAGGGAAAGAAGAATGTCGAAGATTTAATGGACCGGAAGGTGACTATTTTGAGGCTAGTTTCAGTAGGTTTCATGCCTGAGCGGCACTGCGTAGATGCGGGGTTCTATTCCCGTTGTCCTCAGTTTCGGTGGTCTGAGGAGGATGGGCCAAGCCCAGTCAACACTGGTAGCTCGCTGGGATTAGTTTGCCCCCCTGTAATCTGAGCGTCAGTTCAGGTGGAAGTGGCCGCTCAGGGCCTGCTGCGGCCGGTCGGCACACACCCAATAAAAGAATTCTCAGGTTTGATTCTCAGTCGAATCATCATAGCGGGCATTGATGGCTCGATTACGATGCCTAACAGGATTGAGACCCTCAATTTCACGATACTTCAAGAGGCTTGAACTATCGACGTACAATAACCAATAATCATGACATATAGTCTACAGTAACTCCCATACTAATCTCGAACCACCTGGCTCCGGTCACCTGTGGATACATATCAAGACTGCCCGCCCTTTGAAAAAAAAAGAAATAAAGAAAAACAACTGTTTTGAAGTTGAGTAGGATTTTCAGGCAGTCTGGTAGGTCAGTAGGATTATTGTAGGCCAGCATGGGGATAATGGATGATACCTAGTCTGCAGTTGTAGTCGGTGAAACTACGACGAGACAGTTTATCACAGCCCCTCATTTGTTGTCCTCTTCTCCCTCTCCGCCGACGGTTTACTGGGAAGTTCTGTTTAACGGTATATATTATATATAACATAATATATATGTCTTTTCTCCATCTCTTCTCTGTGTTTATCCCCTACCCCTTTACTCTGCCTCTTTCTCACAGCATACAAGTGGGCGGTCATGGCACACGGGGATGTGGGCAGCTCACGCTCAACTTCGTGAACATAGTGAGCCTTGTGCGCAAGAGGCACAGTAAAAGGGGAGTTAAAAGAAGAATGATAAAAATGAATGGTTTGTGTGTACTTCATGTTCGGCGTGAGTATTTTTATCATTTTTTTTTGCTAAGTGCGCTCTTTTAGTTCATGAATGGTTGTGTGCACTTCATGTTTGTTGTGAGTATTTTTATCATTGTTTTTGCGAAGTGCGCTCTTTTAGTTCATAGATATGTGACAATTTAGATTGCGCTGGCCAGCGCTGAGCAGGGAGCAGGGTGGTGTGGTGTTGGGGTGATCAGGGAAGAATAAGGCAACAGTGGGAGTAAGTAGATACTGACCTCGTATTGACGGAGGAGCGCCTCATGTGTTTGGACTCTTCATTGGCATCTGCGAGAGGGTAGAGGGGAGAGAGTGGGAGAGGGAGTAGGCTAGTTTGTCTAGGTTTAGTAGGAGAGTACTCAGGCGGAAACATAACAGTAGGGCTACTATATTGATGTTGTATTGATTGTTTTTGGAGGCATGAAGAGGATTTTCATTGTCAAGATACTTCAGCGGTCAGTGTGTTCTGAATTGTGTGTGCGCTTGGCTTTGTAATTCTTCTTTCAGGTTGGCTTGTTCATGATTGGTCTTCTGTGAGCTTTTGCATCTTGAAAATTTTGTGTTCTCATTGGATGGTTCCTTGGAGTAGTAGCAACCTGGCTGTGAGCCGAGCTGCCTAGAGTGATACATGTTGATTGATCTGTGAAGCTGCTGAAGCAGTCAAACTGTAAGGCCCATCTTAATATCGGATGTCAAATGTCTTGTCTCTCTTTTTTTTTTTTTTTTTTTTTTTTCAGTAGACAAATGCCGCTCGATTAATTATGCTAATGGTGACAAGTGTGGCAACTGTATTGAGGCTCATGTGCCATCTTCCGCCAGTCTTTCTGGTTACTTGGTAGTGACCTAATGATGTAGAACACACTGCAGCCTATTGCTATCAATATAGCATTTGTGTAGACCTATTCTGCTCTGCAGTTCCCCAGGAGGACCGGGTTGGTTACAATATGCTAAACATGTGAGTACGGTTTTGGTTTAGGGTTTAGCCAGCCAGTGAAAGATGTGATGGGCTTCTGACTTCGGTGACTTTTGGTACAGGTTGGTCAAACAAGGCAAATCATGGAAAAGGCGTTTAACTCCCGATGCATGGCAGAGAACGCACCAATACTAGAGGAACTGGTATGTACGTATCCGTGTGCTTCCTCCCATGTCTCCTTTCCTCTTGGTATTTCATCTGTGTCCAGTGTTGCTGCCGATGGTCAGTGGCACTGGTTAGGTTGGCTGCCAACCAGCTGACCAGCTCGGTTATTTTCTTATTGCTCCGCATACACTGTGTTCACAACCATGCCATGTGGGCCCTGGTGCCTCAACTATTTTATCTTTGTTCAGCATACACTGTGCAGACAGACTTCATTCACTCGGACGAGTCAGGCAGGCTGCTTGTCGAGACCCTCACGCTCGCTGATAGTGAGTAAAGGGTAGATGTGGGAGGAGGTCTGAAGGGGAGTGTACTGGCGGCCATAGCTGTCCAGGGTTAACTTTGACGGATCTGTGACTTCAGCCTGGGACTTCAAATCAGCATCAACACCATCCTTATCCCAGTCACTGTGTCTTTGTGTGTGTGTGAGAGCGAGTGCATGAGATAGGGTCACATTGGTGAACTACCGCTTGGGGGCTGAGCCAGCAAGCAACTGCACACATGAGAGAGAGAGAGAGAGAGAGAGAGAGAGAGAGAGAGAGAGAGAGAGAGAGAGAGAGAGAGAGAGAGAGAGAGAGATTTTGTTAGCAGTGTGCCACGAGGTGGAGATGAGGTGTGATGTGGAAGAGACATGGAGTGAATTTATATTTTTGGGTTCTGGATATTTTGGGTTCTGGATTGATTCTTTCTCCTTAAAAAAAAAAATAAAAAAATTCCTTGTTCCTTGTCTCTTCTTTCGCCTCTTCTTTTCTACATCGTCTTCCTCTTCTTCTTCCCCGCCCTTCTCCAGAGCGGTTTGTTCTGCTCTGCTGTGTCACTGCAGTCTGACCTTTCCAGTTCTACCATTCTCCTTCTCCAGATCGGTCTGTTTTGTTCTGCTGTGTCCCCGAATCCTGATCCCAGAGCCCCCTCCCAATTCCCCCTGCCCTTCTCCAAAAGTTTTCAAAAAACATTGAACAGCATAAAGGACCCCAGATTCGGGCTAATCTTGGTGGGCATAGAAATGCGCCATCATCACTTCTGGAAAAAGACAGGAAGAGTGCGGTGAGTGGTTTTGACCTTGATGGAGACAGAAATGCCCCATCCTTATGTCCTGTCCAACCAACTGCACTTTTGAGGCCCAATTGTGCTCTCTCTTGCTCTCCTTAGTATCTTCTGCCTATTCGGCTGTTCCCCTCAGCTCCTCTGGGGACTGTGTGATCTGCAGTGGACTACAAGAACAGACGTCTGTGTGTTCTAAACCTGCTCCAATTCTCCCTTTTCAGTGGACTAATTGAAAACTCTGTTTCTCTCCGCTCCTGTGGGAGCTGTCTGATCGTCAGCGGGCTACTGGAACGGCGGGTCAGTGTCCCTCACATAACTTACACACTCGATGCTTTGAGACAGCAGCATTGATTGCTTCCTTAAACAGGAAGGATTTTTCCCCACCCCATCCCCTGTTTCCACAATACCATACATTTCCTTGCAAACCCCCAGACCTGCTCGTCTGTGTTACTACTCTTAGCCCTTCTCCGCTGCCTGATCCATCTTACGTAGAATAAAACTTAAAAGTTCGTAGCAAAAAAGCAGGGTTCATAAATAGGTCCGAAGGTCATGCTCCCAGTGGATGCCTTAAGCTGCCGTAACAGGACAGGATCGTACAAGAAGTTCTGAAACCGGGGAAGATACTCCCAGTTAGCCGCTGCGGTAACAGCCTTGGTCCAACTGCGGACATTCGAGAACTTTGCCCGTGGCCGCTCTAGAGCAGCGGAACCAAGAGCTGCAGGATGAGATTGCAGGCCTCAAGCAGGCCCATTTGACCATCCCTCGACCTTCTAATCCGCATCCTACTGCTCTCCCAATATTTCCCTATAACTCAGTCCTCATGCAGAGACACGTGGGAACCGGTGCCAGCTCTTCAATCAGCAGCACTGGCAGTTCTGCCCTCGTCCCAGTCCCAAGTGCAAGGTCACCGGCCCAAAATGCCGCAGTTCCTGTTGGCGTACAGTATATTGGTCCCATAGTGGACAAGAGGGCGGCCACGCTGCTGTCCAAATACAATGGGAAGAGGGATATTACCTCCTGGATCAACTCCATGCGCTCATACTTCGAGGTACTGCGAGCACCGCAGGAAGAGTGAAGCATGATCGTGGGCACAAATACCGAGCCCTCCAAGGATTGTTATCGTTTGCAGGAAACAGGCAAAGGGCATAGAAGAGTTATCAGCACTCTTTACACCGAGAGAAGGTGAACAGTCAGTTGCAGTCCCCTCCGAGGAGCCTGAATCTGATCAACAACCTTGCTCTTGAAGCCCGAACTGGTGCCAAATCCAAGGTTGCTATAGTCCAAGTACTTTATACCGACCCTTGGGAGGATTCTAGAGAAGTCAACTTTCATTCTCACCTGGAACGTTGGATGCAGCTTAAGCAGCAGCGCTGTGTTCAAGGGGTTGCAGAGCTTATCTTCTTTAAGCTTCTCATTAACCGCGAATACATCCGTGTTTTGATTGACAATGACTCAACTGCTAACTTCTTTTCTCCTAACGGAATTTGTAAGGCGGCCCTGGGAATGAAAACTGTGGAACTGCAGAACCCTTGTCGGACCCAGGTAGGCAACCAAGAGGATGTCACCTCAATGCATCCTGTCAAAGGTGTGCGCGTCACCTCTGACAAAGATAGCACTGTTACACATGAGCTGAACTTCTACATCCTCAACAAGTGTCCCTTCAACGCGGTCATTGGCTTGGGCTGGTTAAAGGCCCAATGTCTAAGGACCACATGGGTAGATACTAAGTTCGTGGTGTGTGGCGCTAAGAGGATCGAGTGTGCCGTCTTGTTGGACAAGACACGCGAGTCCCTTGTGACTCTTTTGAGTGCGAACAATTCTGCAAAGTAGTGCGTAGGCGCAAGGAAGGTGAGCAGTTGCATGTAGCCTTTGTCAAGCCTATCAATTCAACTTGTACTTTTGATGTATTTCTACTTCGGAAATGAACTCTACTTCTACTACATCTGCCTCTATTCCATGTACTTCTACTCCAACTACTTTAAATCCGGTTATCATTGCTGTAAATTCTCAAGCTGATTTTCTCTCTCCTGATGAGGATGATCCTCCACCGGAAGTCCCAGCAAACATTTGCCATTTACTAGATCGATTCCCAGAAGTTTTGGATGAACCTCGTGGGGTTCCCGAGCCTTCGGTCAAACACAAGATCAAGATAGTAGAAGGGAGTGTTCCTGGACAAGGCGAGTTGGAGGAGCTGAAAAGACAGATTGATTGCATGATTGATCATGGATGGATTAGGCCTAGTGAATCTCTGTTCGGTGCACCTGTCCTGTTTGCTCCGGAGAAAGGAGGCAAACTCGGGATGTGCATCTAGTGTCATGGCCTAAAAGCACAAAACTGCGTTCAAGATGCTCGATGGGCTGAACGAGTTTATGTTTATGCCCTTCCGTCTCACAAATGCACCAGCCACATTTCAGTGCCTCATGGACAAGTTCTTCTGCCATCAGCTCAACCGATTTGTTGTCGTTTACCTCGACAACATTCTGATTTTTAGCAAGTCTATGGAAGAGCATGTCAAGCACCTTGAGGAAGTTTTGCAGGCCCTCAAAGAGGCAAAGCTGCATCTCAACATAGAGAAATCTGAGTTAAGGAGGGACAACGTCATCTACCTTGGGCACGAGTTGTCTGCTAACGACCTTGAGCTTGAGGCATCCAAGGATGAGGTCATATGGAAGTGGCATCAACCGGCGAATGTACGCGGACTGCGTTCCTTTCTCGGTTTGGCTTCATATAATCGAAAATTTGTGCCCAAAGTTTTTGTCATTCCTCACTCGCTTTTGAGACTAACAAGCAAAAATATCACTTATGGTGTGAAAAGTGTGAGACTGCATTCCAAGCTTTGAAAGAAGCTTTGGTAAGTCATCCTGTGCTCCGCATTGCAGATCCTAAACTCACATCCGTAGTCACGACGGGTGCTAGGCTGTATGGGATTGGCGTGGTGCTGCAACAAGATGATGGCGATGACTTGTGCCCGCTAAATACTACAACAAACACATGCCTAGCCACAAGGTAGCTACCTCCACATACATGCGCGAGCTCTGCGCCTTGCGAGAAGTACAAGCGCATTGGAAGCACTACCTTTTGGGTCGTAAGCTCTGCCCGGATCATCAAGCTTTGCGGTGGATCAAATCACAAACTGATCTCTCTAAGACGTTGATCCGTCGGGTGCATGACATTGATGTATATGATTTTGAATTGAAACACAAGAAAGGCTGCTATAATCTTGTCGCTGATGCTTTGTATTGTCATCCTGAGTTTTTGAGTTTCCTTGTGAACCCTTATGACTTCCATAGGAAACTGAAGGATCCGGACCTCAGTCCCATTCTTGGGCAGGTTAAGGATGACCCTAGTAGTCAGTCTGATTTTCACGATATTCCGACGCTATGGGAAGTTTGACTGCTTGTGTGGACCCAAGCATGAGCCTCTTCGAACTCATTTCTTGGATGTGGCACATGGTCGGAGTGGACACTTCGGCTTTCAAAAGACTTAAGAAAGTCTTCGGCAGCAGTTTGATTGGCCGGGAATGAAGGGATCTGTTCAGAAGTCCGTCGTTGAATGTCAAGTTTATCAAAGAACCAAGGTCCATAGGCACAAACCTAATGGCCTGCTCAAACCCCTCCCTGTTTCTGATGGACCCAGTGAGTTAGTTTCTATCGACTTCACGGACATGGAAAGATAAGCGAGGGCGGACATTCATAAGTCATGGTCATCATGGATCGTTTTTCCAAAGTTCTGAACTTGATTCCTTTACCACCTCATGCACCAACTGAGATTGTGATTGAAGAGTTCCATCAGCAGTATATTCTGCAGAATTCCCCTCTGAAAACTCTTGTGAGTGATCGGGACACTAGTGCATTAGTGCTGATTGGAAGGACTTCACCTCTAAGATCTATGACCCTAAGCTGAAGAAGACATCTGGTTGACACCCCAAAGCCAATGGGTTGGCCGAGGAAATCAACCAGACTGCCATTCAACTACTTCACACTTTAATCGTTCCCGATTAGAACATTTGGGGGGAGGAGCTACACAAAGTGAAGGGGTTGTACAACAACTCTATTCACTCTGCAACTGGCAGGGCACCAAACCAACTGCTCTACGGTTGGCAGATGCGAAATCCTGTCTGCCACTTGTTCCCTGATTGGTCCCCTGGTCTGACGCCCCGACATGCCTGGTTACAACGCCAAGTATGCACGCTTGCTCAAAGCTGCTATGGCAGCAATGACTAATTGCCAGCATGCCATGATCAAACATGCTAGCAAGTCGCGCAAAGAACGGGAATTTGAAGTAGGAAGTCATGTCTGGGTCAAAATGTCTGAATTTCCTGATGAAGAGGGAGTATCACCGAAACTTCTTTCACTGGACTATCGTTCGTGGCAGGTTCTGAAGGTGGTTAGGGGATGATGAGTTTTGCCCTTCGTATGTGATTGGCGTGCCCCCTCATCTGCGCACGTATCCGGTCTTTCAGGCATCCAAATTGTTTACCCACATTGCCGATGAGACTTTCCTTTCCGAGAGCCTATGATTCCTCATGCTACCAATGGTGGTCACGAAATAGACAGAATCGTTTCGCATGAAGGAAAAGGGTTGAACAGACAGTACAAAGTTTGCTTCCTATATCACCCGTTGGATGAGTTCTACTCTTGAACGGAAAGAGCTATTACATAATGCTCCCCGTGTTATTAAAGCTTACGAACAACAGATAGCCGATGAACAGACTGGTAAGTTCTCTGCAACACGTACTCGGTATGGGCCATACCACAACTCTCTTCCTAATCTACACTTACGACGTATTTTGTAGGGACTCTGAATGAGTTACTTGCTCGAAGGGACCTTGCCCTTGAGAGGGGGGGGTAGTGTAATGACCTGCCAAAACACAGACTGAGAACACTGCTGATTTCTGGGTTTTGCCGTTGGAATGTATACCTTGCTGAGATTCCCACGTTCTGCTGGGTTTTAAGTCTGTGTGTGTGTGCGTGCTTGCCGGTCCGTGTGCATGTCTGAGTGCACGTCTGCCTGAGTGTGTGTGTGGCCCGCCAGGGCACTTGCATGTTGTGAGGCCTGCAGGGTCTGGTACTTACCTGTGGCCATGACTTTGAGGGTTGCAGCGGGAAAATACTCAAGTAGCAGGGAGTAGGCCCGCGACACTTAATGCAGCGGAGGAAAAACACTAAAGTAGCAGGTTGGCCTGTACCACTCAAGTAGAGGTAGATGTGTCGGGAACTGGAGGCCAAGCAGAAGAAGAGAAAAAGTTGGCATTTTTAGAGGCCCTGTAGCTGTAGACTAGAGGTAGGCGGGTACCAGTCCAAGTAGCCTGAGTCTAGGGCCTGTGCGGACGATATCAGAGCCTGCGATGATGTTTCCCTCCGAAAGGGAGGAGGCACCGGTTGCTTGGAGGCCGTGCGGCCTGGAAGTCACCGCCCAAGAGGCGAGTAGGCCGCTATATCTCCAGGAAGAGCGCTGTGCTCTTCCTGATTTGCCGAATGCAAGTGTGGGCATCATGCTGCTTGAGGAGGCGCTGGTTCTGAGAGCGCTCCCTGGGAGGAAGGAGGAGAGCTGGGCGCTCTGCCTGGCTATGGCGAGCAGCCCAGCTTGAGGAGGAGGAAGAAGGGGGCAAAGGAGGAGAGTGGTGAGGTACCTACATGGCTATGGTGGACACCCATCTTCACCAGCTTGTTAGGTGCTGCATCTGGAAAGCCCCACTGGGGGGTGGTGCCGCACCAAGGAAGCTTCGAGTGAGGCATGGCGGCCTGAAGAGCAGGGGCCATAGCTGCTTTGCGTTGTCTTTTGCACAGGAGGGAAGAGCCCTTAGTAGTCCGCCATAGCCCAGGCCTGTGTGAGGAAGAGGAAGAGGGAGGCCATGGCTATGGTGGACCTCTTGTTAAGCTGGCAGTAAGAGGGAACTTCGGATATTGATTCTGGTTGGACCCCTCCTTGTTATTATTATTATTTTGGAGAAGAATAAGATTGGCGGAGACGAGGAGGAGGAGAGTGGAGAGAGAAGGGGGATTTGTCATTGGTCTTGCTGGTGTACATCTTCTTCTTCTTCTTCTGTCATTCTTCTTCTTCCCTCTTCTTTGGTCTCTATCTCTTTGCAAGTGCTTCCATTTCTTTTGTAATTGGGTGGCCCTGTGTTTACCTGTGAATTTGCACTTCGGAAATATCCAGTATCGTAAATCTTTTTTGTTTTTTTTTGTTATTGCGAGTCCAAAGGTCTAGTAAAGGGTCAACTCCATAAGTGGCGTATAGACCTTGTTTACAGTAGAAGGTGGTTGGGAAAAGCCAGACGGGTGGCCACCATCGCACCTCGCTTGCAATGCCATGATTATCTAGGCTGGTCCCCAGGCGGTCCGGCTGGGGGAAGGTCGCCCGGGTACCCTCCTGGGTTGCCCGGGCAGGGGCCCAGGCAGCCCCAGCACATTAAAAAAAAAAAAAAAAAAAAAAGGAAAAAATATGTTGTGTAAAATTGCAGTACAAGCAATGTTTGGCTGAGGGTCCCCTCAAAATTCCTTGTTAATTTTAAGATAAAAATAAATGAGGAGAAATGAGGTCAGATATACCCTTTTAAACCCCTCTAGTCACTGTTTAATACCCCCCAAACACCCCTAGGTGACGCACCACCGAAATGGAAGGTAAGGCCGGATTCTGACTGCTCATGCCGAGTGCAGTTCTGGCCTGAAGTCAGTTTCTTTTTTTCGGGCCTCCTTCCCTCTTTTTTGACCTGCCTGGTTTTGCCAGGCGGCCCCCACCTGGACCCGCTGGCCCGGGCATGCCTGGAAGGGTGTGCCTGGCCGGGCGACGGCCCAACCTAGATGATTATCCCTTTCATGTTTGAATTTTGTCCTGGCAACCTCTAAGTCATTGGTTTTGCTGAGAATTGTTTTGGATCGCAAGCTTTATCTTTCAGCTGACTTTTATGCTGAAAATGTGAAGTGTTTGTTTTTCCTCCCCTTCTGTATCTCGGCTGAATTGAATTCTTGATGCGTACCCATTTTCTTTTTGTGAAATCTTGCATGATTTTCTTCGGAAGAGGGAGGGTTTGTTTTTGGAATTCAGGCTATTGCATTCTTATTTCCATGAATTATTACGAGCATAGTCTAGCAGAGATTCTGGGCGATCCTTCACATTGTGCGTTTCATGGCGGCCACACAACTGTCTTGGTCAAACTGGCTCATGATGCTGAGTTGTCATCGTGTGGGCTCATGATTTGTGGTGCCTAGTCCTTGGGCTAGACAGCATATCTGGCTTCGTGTGCTCGTGAGGTTCTGCTCGTTGGGCATGGTATTTTTAGTTCATTAGATTATTGTAGATGCATTTGAAAGGATGTCATAGGCATCAGAGTCTGTTCCCGGTCTGACTCTGAGTCCCAGGGTACCAGTCCCATATACTCATGGAGAACAACTCCAATCCGATAGTTCCTGGTAGGTCCAATAGGTTTACGGTCCAGTCAGTCCAGTCAGCAACCCATGGTCCCAGGAAAGTAATTGAACACTTAGAACATGTCAAAGGCCAAAGCCGTGGCTGGTTGTGGCCGTCAGGTGACCGATACTGTTTGGGAAGTCCAAGGAAGAGAGCCTGAATCGTTGCCTACAAAAAGCATGTCAGCAGTTGTCCACAGCATTTTTGCACTCGTGTGCGCTCAGGACTCTGCAACCAACCAAGGTGTGAGCATGAAATGAGGCACAGTTGCTGTAATTACTGTGTACAGCGCCATAGCTGTCCAGGGCAGTGAGTGGGTATAAGATATGCAGGGGGGGAGTGAGGCCTGAGGGTCATAGAGAGGGGGGG